AAGGTCACCTAAAGTATTTTCAGTTCAAGATCATACTGCAAAAGGCTTAAAGAAACGAGAACACTCATTCCACTATTAAAGGAACTAATTTATTAGCCTACAAAATGGCAAAATTTTGAAGAAGTTGCTGTTTCTCTAAATAGGTGGTAGGAAGTCAGTACTAATCCAGATAATTTACCAATGTAATTTCTCATGAACTCTAACAAAACGAAGAGTGAAAATACTATGGTTACTACCCAAACTTACAATTTAAAAATACTGGATTAGGTCATTTCTGAAATTAACGCTGGGAGGCATTCTTTGACCCTCACTCCCCCGAAAAAGAAAGAAAAAACACTACTTTTAAGTAGTGTGTGCTGACAATGCTCCATCTCCCTGCACTCACCACCTGATTCTCGATCACCTATCAAGCTTTCCCCCAAAACCCTTGTACTTCCCAGGGATCACTACCCCCAATTTGGGGGGACCAATATGGTCCTACATATTACCTATTTCTGAGTGTAACATTGATCCTATGTGCCTTCATGATAGTTCTGCGTGTTGTCTGAAAGTTATCTGCAGGCCAGGTCTTTTCCCCTTTAATAGTTAGCTCTCTGCATTCTCTGAGGGTAGCAGTCAGCCTCACATCACTTACTGGTATTTGTTGAAAACTGTGACAGTGCTTAAGAGTTTGATTAGGCTTAAGCTATTTTCTTTCCCTAACTTGAAATTTTTGATGTCTAAATTTCATTCATAAGCTAATAAAAAGTGGATCTTTTCCAGTGACAATATTTTATTTTTTTCTTATTTAAATTCAATTCATTAACATGTGATGTATTATTGGTTTCAGAGGTAGAGTTCAGTGATTCATCAGCTTTATATAATACCCAGTGCTCATCACATCATGTGCCCTCCTTCATGTCCATCACCCAGTTACCCCATCATCCCCACCCTCCACCCCTCCAGCAACCTTCCGTTTGTTTTCTGTAATTAAGAGTCTCTTATGGTTTGTCTCCCTCTCTGATTTCATCTTGTTTTATTTTTCCCTCTCTTCCCCTATGATCCTCTGTTTCAGTGACAATATTTTAAATTAGGTGTTTAATAGGAAAAAAAAGCTATAGGTAGAATATACTTTGTTTCACACACTCCTATTCCTCCTTCATTCAATATCTAAACATCAAAGAAATAACACACTAAGTGTGTTTCATGAGGTACTTATTAAACTGTCTCTGAAAACAAGATGTACTAAAAACATGCCCATCAGTAAAGACCAATAAAGACTGGCTAAATCTATCAGAGCATACACTGGCCAGGGAAGAAGCTTGCTAAATCTGTACTGTTTAAAACACTTTCATTCATCAAAAATAATACATGATAAAGAAGCCCAGACTAGGAGTGCCTGGGTGGCTCAATCGTTACACATCTGCCTTCGGCTCAGGTCATGATCCCAGGGCCCTGGGATCGAGCCCCGTATAGGGCTCCCTGCTTGGCGGGAAGCCTGTTTCTCCTTCTCCCACTCCCCCTGCTTGTGTTCCTGCTCCCACTGTGTCTCTGTCAAATAAATAAATAAAATTAAAAAAAAAAAAAAAGCAGCAGCCCAGACTAATATATATGTGATGGCACTATTAAAACAAGATTCATGAATCCTCTATTACTTCCTGCCAACACAAAGTAGACACAGCCTAATATGATCCAGGCAAGAGAAATAGGAAACACAGAACAATGTACGGAAAAAAGGGGAAAAAGAGGGGGAGGCCTAGGCTTAAATCACCTTCTACCATATGGAATGAAAGCAGAACTTAGGACATGTCTAGTTTTATGGAAATAAGTAAGAGAATGCCAATTCAGGGAAAGTTTGTCAGCTGCCAAAGAAAACAGAATAACCTTTTGCTTACAAAGAGACTGATTAAAATTCATGTTCCTTCTTGCATTCAAGCTTTCCACATGAGCTGAATACTGAGGAAAATAAATGAACTACATCGAGATTCACAATTACTATGAAAAATAAACAAATCCAGAAAGCTAAACAATATTTTCCTTTAATATCCCAAATTCAAATTCAACCTCAAAGAAAGAAAAGAAATCCCTATCAGAATCTCCTTATCTGCTAGAGATTAACCTCAAAGTTCTATGTTCTTTTACTTTACTTCTCCTTAAGAAAATTTCCTACCCACTGGCTCTGGAAATAAGAAAAAGGCACGTCAAAAGAGAGATAGAAAACATGGCTTCCTACAAGAGCCATTACCAAGCACTTAAAAGAGTGAGACCTAGACAGCATCAATAGGATGTAGACACTCTGCTTCATATACAGCAGTAATGTATTCTTTTTTAATTTTTTTTTTTTTAGCAGTAATGTATTTTTAAAGATTCAAATCAACTTAACAAATCCTGGATGCTTTCTAGAAGCCAGTCATTGTACTTCTCCCTCAGGATGCAGAGCAGAACTCCCCTAGTCCATTCCTGTTCAGAATGCTTTGTCTCCCACAGCATTTAGAGCAAAGGATCTGTTGGAATTCATTGCCATAAAACAGGACAACTAACTAATCAAAGAAACACAGATCCCTAATCTTGCCCTGACGTGCATGCTTTTATCAATGACCATGAACTTACCCCACAGTAACTGGGGTCCACGTGACATTACAAAACAAATTTCTACAAAGGGCCATCAGTTATTGGCAAAATTATCACCAGAAAAGAAGTCCTGAAACAGAATGCTGATGGGTTATCTGGAACTACTGTTTCTCTGATTTCTCTGATTTACTTTATCAAGTAGGAAAAACAAAAAATAGCACCAATGAGCATATCTAAGATGACTCATCTAGTGCCAAATAAAGATATTCTATGTATATTTTAGAACAAAACAAAAATATCACTTCAAGTCTGTGCGTGTTGTGTGTTTAATGATAATACAAATATCTGAAGTAAAACAGAAACCTTTCTGAGGGGGTGGGGTTTGCCAGGAATCCATTTAAATGGAAAGGGTGGAAATTTTTCCAAATACCTTATCAGGCCACCACTGCAAATCTTCTCCTAAAGACACTGGACTTTGAACGGGTGTATTCTTCTTATCCAGGTTTGGCTCTCCTTCCTTGCTGGTGGAGCCCCTTTCATTATCAAATGAGGCTCCATCAAGCCACCTTCGTTCACGTAAACGTAAAACAGATTCACGTTCACGCAACAGCTCAGAGTCTCTCTCTAAGGGAAGAAGGAGAACTGGTATGCAATTGGGTCACACCAGTGGGATAAAAGTAAGCCACTCTCTAGTAAAGACCCTTCAGGATGCAACTAACAGCAGTTTATCTACTCACAAAAATTTAATGTAAATGTATATCTAATAAGTCTGACATGCAACATTCAAAACATTAACTCTTTCAAGTGAAGGTATGAAAATTATAAACTAGTATTTTTAAGAACTATGTAGAGGCAGACTTTTTTGAATTCCAACTACATGTTTTTAGAGCAGAATTACTTTATTTTAAATTGGATTTTTAAAATGGATTTTAAAATTTTTGGCTTTCATTTAAAACGCTTACCATAACTTTATTAGAAAATGTGCATAAATTAGATTTCAACATATTAGATACATATGTAAACCAAAAAAGAGTATTTGTTAGAATGTCTTCAGTTATTAAAAAACAAAACAAAAACAAAACCCTACACATACAGGGGAAAAACTTGAAAAAGCTAAAATACAAATCCATTAACCAAAAAAATGTTTGTAATTCAAGCCTTGTTTAGAGTAATTTTACAGTCTGGATCTTCATATCAGCCTCGTTTACACATTTCTGAGAAACCAGACAAGCTTCTTTTTTTCTTTTAATCATCTTTACAGAAAGATTCCCTTACAAAAATTCTTCCCCTGCAATTGGCCTATAAACTCTTTAAAACCAGTTTTGTTGTTTTGGGTTTGTTTTTTGGTTTTGCTTTTTTGTTTGCTCATACATTATTCTTTTTTTAAATAGGTAATCAAAATATACTTTCCAGGACTTGGATAAGGACTAGAAACAATATTAAACTGAAGCATATGAAATTGCCATCCATGCAGGTCAAGAATGGTCAAGCACCAGCAATTTCATATGGTTCAGATAAAAAGTAATGCCTACACAGAATAACCTATGGAAAAGGAAAAGAGAGAAATTTAGGAGGAGTTATTTGTGCTCGATATTGAATATTTGAAAATGCAATACTTGATATATTTAAGGCAATACAGTGTGGACTTAATTTAAAAATGTTTAAAGCTATTACATAATAGGTTCAGTATATTACAAGATCATTATAGATTTGTTATTTTTAAACTTTGCTTTTAAGTACTAGATATTTGTAGCAAGGTTCTAATATAACATGGCATCTTTTCCAGTACTAATGATCAGTAAATAATATATAACCGATTCTTGTACATTATTTGACTCAAGCAGTTTTACATTCTGGAGTAAAAATACTGACTTAGTAAGGTTAAAATGCAAGCTAAATCTATACCAACATACAAAGAGAAAGTCTTACATTTGTATGATTTCAAAATCTTCTAACCTCTATTATGTACTATACCTTTGAAGGATTTCAAACTTTTGAAAATAACATTTTAATAAGATAATCATTTCTATATATTTATTATTGGCCAATCCCATTCTATTAGGTTTTTTCACATTTCACTCTTCCGTCTAACCAAGATTTAAAATGAACAGAATAATCACTTTAATCAAATAAACTAAAGAGACTTGTTTTCTGAATGCTGCATGTCACTGTAAAGTAGAATTCTGCTTTTAGTTCAGAATCCATATTCCTAATTAAAGATACAGGTAGGTAAGTCGTAACCCTTGATAAGTATTCCACAATGTTGATAAGACAATCTCTAAAGTAAAGTACTATTTGTGGCTCGTCAAGATCAAAAATAACTAGTTTAATACCAAAGCATTCAAAAACACTAATAAGTAATAATTTATTATTGTATTGCATTATTGTATTAATTACTGTAATATTAAAAGTTCAAACACAATGAATTGTACCACTCTCTCTCCATACAGCCAGCCAATGATCACAAAGAAATAAATGCAAAATTACCTCGAGATGAGCCTAGCCTGGAAAGTGATGAACGACGAAAAGAAGGGTAACCAAAATAGCTAATGTCCTCAGAAAACATGGCATCCGCATCAATAATGACACTTGGGTGGGCAGAATGAATGTCAGCATCAAGAAGAGACATAAGATCCTCTATAAACAGAAACATATATAAATAAAGCAGACACCGAAAATATCTGTAGACCACTGAAAGGTCTCTGAAAATTAAATCAGATAAAAATGAGACACTAACCACTGATAGACCCTGAGAAAAAAAGTAATAACTACCCAGGAAATAATATTATTAACAAAGATTTTAAGGAACAGGAAAGACATGACTGCCACTTGGGCTACCTACTAAATAATCACAAGAAAAAAAGATCTCTATTTAATATATTTGTAACATCACAGAGATAATGCAGTCAAAATCTAAATAGGGTTTTTACATATTTGGTAATAAGGGCATCAAAAAACAACATTCCAGAGTCATCTTGTCAGTGACAAAGACACGCACATACATCCATGTCTTTACTGGAACCAAACACAAGTCTACTGAGCAAAAACATTTCCCATTTTCCCTTAAAAGTATTTTACAGGGGCGCCTGGGTGGCTCAGCTGTTAAGCATCTGCCTTCGGCTCAGGTCATGATCCCAGGGTCCTGGGATCGAGCCCCGCATCGGGCTCCCTGCTCCATGGGAAGCCTGCTCCTCCCTCTCCCACTCCCCCTGCTTGTGTTCCCTTTCTCACTCTGTCTCTTTCTGTCATATAAATAAATAAAGTCTTTGGGGGGGAAAAAAAGTATTTTACAATCAAATTAAACACTCCAGTGAGAAATATCTACCACTTTGGAAAGAACCATCAGAAAATCCATTGTACTTTAAAATTCTATTCCCTAGTCAAAAAAGTCTCTCCCTCCAGAGATGAGAAAACCATGATGGTGATCCACCAACCTCCAGGCAAATAAGATTCACTGGCTGTATCATCCCCATCATCTCCATCTTCATCATCCCGGCTAAGTAAATTATTTACAGCAAGGTTTACATCAAGATTTGTTCGTTGAAGTTCCCGAATAATGACACTTCTGGATTTGCCTTGTAAAACGACTTGGGCCTGAAATAGAAAATAAAGAAGAGTGCTATGCTAAATCTCTTTTGCTTACACACTTTTATCAAAATCAGCTTTCCAGGACAGCTCCAGAAAAGCAGTATTTCACAATCCATGCTGTGAGTCATGACTACAGCCCAGGACATTCAGTTACAACTTCCTCTTGCTCTGCTGCCTTATGTGAAGTGTTCTCCCAGACCTCTACCTGTGAGATCAGCTCCTCCGGGATGACGGATGCAGGGATAACTGGCTGTGGCTGACTGCCCAAAAGCCCAGATCCTCGGTCCCGGCCTGTCCGAATAACTCGGGTCTGTCGGCGGGAATCTCGAGCTCCGGCTGATGACCTACCAGAGGAGCCTCCTCCACTTCCACCGACTCCGGAACTCCACCGACTTCTAAAGAGTAGACAATTTTGAGAATTAGCATTTTAAACAATAAAAGATCACCTTGTGTCTCACATTCATTCTCTTAACTGAAGACAAAGCTATTTTGTCTAACTGACATATATTTTACAGTATTTTAATAGAACAAGGTAATATAACTGAGCCTTAAAATAAAACGGTTGCCATTTTTTAAATGCTTACATATAAATTCACTCTTTAGAAAGATACATATCACACTTTTGCATCTTTTAAAATCATGTTTTAAAGCTCCACATACCAAGTATTTCTAGCCACAATTCTAGAATGAGTTATAGGATACACCTTGCCTCTACATGAAAGACTCATCGGACATAACTACCAACAATGTGTTACACAAAACGTGTAATTCAGAGTTTAGGACTCAAAAACTGCTTTGCATGAAATGAAATATTCATTTGCAAAGATATTTGTCCATTAATATTTAGTTCTATTAACTACCTAGACCAAAAAGAAGCTACTATTTTAAAATAATCATTAATTTTTTCTTAAGTATGAGAAAACTTAGCATGACATTTCCATCTTCACTTTCTGCCCCCAACATGAGCATTAAGGATTTTCAAATCAACTAAGCTAGATAACCATAAACAATTGCTTTTCTGCATTCAACTGGATCTTAAAGAAAATGTTCCCCCAAATCACATTAGCCTTAGAAATCATGACAGTGCCAGTCTCTTTTCTTTAAAAATTTTTTTAGTATAGTTGATGCCTCTTTAAAATGAATCTAATACTTAGAGATCATTCAATCTAGAGAAAGCTACTTTACTCTCAACTACTCTTCATTGCACTCACCTAAAACTGAAACCTTCAACCTCCCATTGAGAACAGATTTAGTTTAAATTTGATTTTCCAAGCCTTTTTTTCCCCTTAAAAATGTTTGACTATATTAATCATAACAATTCTCAAATGAACATACAACTACTTGATCTTCTCACTTAACTGGAAAGCCCAATCTCTGTCTAAACAACAAAACTTTTAAAATAGTTTCCGCAGTAAAATGGGAAAAAAAAATCTCCAGAAAACCTGGTGTCACCCTTTTTGATGGCTTTCTACCCTTGTTGATGCACTCTATCAATTGTGTCTGTGTTTCTGTATCTATAGCCTAAGAACCGCCCAAGATAATTTTAGAGAAAAACAGTATTTTGCATTCTCAGAGCTACAGTATGAACCATCGCTTCATCTCAGCTGTGCACCAGATTTCATAAATGTAGTGGTAATGAACCATTTACAGACCAAAAGAAAAACAAAGGAGCATTAAAAGTATATTACATTAACAAAAAGGAAAATAAAACAATTCCATTTATAATAAAAAAAAAAAAAACACAAAAAACAATACCTAAGGATATACCTAACCAAGGAGGTGAGACTTATATACTGAAAGCTACCAAACACAGCTTAGAAAATTTAAAAAAGGCACAATTAAAAGGAAACAAATCTCATGTTCATGAACTGGAAGACTTAATATTATCAAGATGCCCATATTACTCAAAGCAACAGATTCATCACAATCCCTATCAAAATCCCAAATGGCATTTTTTACAAAAATAGAAAAGTTCATCCTAAAATTCATGTGGAGTCTTGAGAGACCCTCAAGAGCCAACACAATTTTGAAAAAGAAGAAAAATAAAATTCTAGAGAATACTTTGTGATTTTGAAACATCATTACAGAACCACTATAATTAAGGGGCGCCTGGGTGGCTCAGCTGGTTAAGCGACTGACTGCCTTTGGCTCAAGGTCATGATCCTGGAGTCCTGGGATCAAATCCCATGTCGGGCTCCCTGCTCGGCAGGGAGTTTGCTTCTCCCTCTGACCCTCTTCCCTCTCGTGCTCTCTATCTCTCATTCTCTCTCTCCCAAATAAATAAAATCTTAAAAAAAAAAAAAAAAGAACTACTGTAATTAAAACACTGTGGTCTGGCATAAGGACAAATAATCCAGTGGAACAGAATAGAGAGCCCAGAAATAAAATCTTGCATGTATGGTCAAATGACCTTTGACAAGGGTGCCAAAACCACTCAATGGGGAAAGGAGACTGTCTTCAACAAATGATGCTGGGAAAATTAGATATCTCTATGCAAAAGAATAAAACTGGACCCTTATGTTATACCATAGGCAGCAATTAATTTAAAATAATTAAAGACCTAAACATAAGACCAAAAAATTTAAAATTCCTAGGAAGTAAACATAGCGGAAAAGCTCCATGTAAGACCTGGCAATGATCTTAAGATATGACACCAAAAGCACACGCACTAAAAGCAAAAATAGACAAAATGAACTATATCAAACCTAAAAACTTTGTGCCTCAAAGGACATAATCAACAGAGTGAAAAGGCAACCTAAAATGGGAGAAAATATCTGCAAATCATATATCTGATAATAGGTTAAGATCCAGAATATATAAAGAGCTCCTACACTCAACAACAAAAAGTAGCCCAATTAAAAACTGGGTGAAAGATGTGAATAAACATTTCTCCGAAGATGATACACAAATGGCCAACAAGCATATGAAAAGATGTTCCATATCACTAATCATCAGAACCAAGTAAGATATCCCTTTACACCCATTAGAATGGCTATTACTGAAATAAAAACAAAAAAAACTAGAAAATTACAAGTGTTAGCAGCAAAGATGTGTAGAAACTGTAACACTCATGCACTGTTGGTGGAAATGTAAAGTGATGGAATGCTATGGAAAACAGTATGGAGGTGCATCAAAAATTAAAAATTAAAAATAGAACTATCATATGACCCAGGCAAGCCACTTCTGGATATATGTGCAAAAAAACTGAAAACCGTCTCAAGAGATATCTGTATACATTATTCACAGCAACATTACTCATAGCAACATTATTCATAGAAGCCAAGAGGTGGAAGCAACCAAATGTCTAAAGGATGAATGGATAAACAAAATGTGGCATATACATACAATGGAATATTATTCAGCCTTAAAAAGAAAGAAAGTCCTGTCACAGGTTACAACATGGATGAACCCTGAAGACACTATGCTAGTGAATGAACCCAGTCACAAAAAGAGAAATACCATGTGATTCCAGTTATATGAGGTATCTATAAAGTAGTCAAATTCATAGACACAGAAAGTAGAATGGCAGCTGCCAGGGATTAAGGAGAGGGTTAAATTAACGAAATCATATACAAATTGTAAGCCAGATGATTTTACTCATTTTATACCTTGATCTTGAATACCTAGACCTTACAGGTATCATAAACTCAAATCTCCATGAGGAGTGCATATATTACACAAGTAAGTGAAGTTAAGATAACAGGGAAGACTAGAGAGTATCAGCCTACCCAAAATACCCAAATTCACTGCTGGATTCTTCCATCAAAACACCAATGGCTGCCAATTCACAATCTCTGCTATACAAACCCCCAACAGAGGTTAGTTGAAAGACATATGTCAAAATAGCTCTGGTTTGCCCATTAACCTGTTGCCAAGGAACATACCATGTTTTCCCACTTAGACCCACTGTGCAGTGTGTTTCTTCTATCACAATCCAAACAACTA